TGTTTTTATTCTGTGTCTGAATATCTGCAGGCTGTTTGACAAATGTGTGTAACTTACTTTGTATAATTGATGTAACATGTTATGTTTTTAACTAATATTTTTTTTAAATCCCACTTGTCCTTACAATACAATGTATTTTGCTTTTTTGTGAACTAATAATAATAATAATAATAATTATTATTATTATTATTATTGTATACCTCTTTTTTGTGATTTTGTGTTCTTCTAAAGCACTTTTTAATTATTTTGGATTTCTTTAAAGCACTTTTTATTATTCTTTACTCCTTTGAAGCACATATAGTTGTTATATAAAGTCACTACCTATTTGTTTCTAGGTTATGTTTAATATTTTAGTAGGTACTAAAAATACAATTTAAAAATAATTTTAAGATCTTTATACTAAAATACGCTGTTACTTATTATAGTTATATATAACTATAATGTCATATATGACAAGTAAAAAAATGTGACTGTTAATGAAATTGTTAGTTTAAAATTTGTATTTTTCATTCGTAAGTCTTGACAGAATTGTTATAACATCGAGATGAATCGTGACTTCACGCTCTCTCTTCAAGCGTTTTAAATGTTCTCAAAAATTGCATGACAAAATGGTATTCGTAGATTCCAAATATTTAATGAAAAAATTGCCAACATACTTTTTAAAATATTGAATTTTTATTAAAAAACTTTTTTGTTTTCACTTATAATGGTCAGCTTTTGATAATTTTTAGATTTAATTTATTTTTTTCAGTATTATTTTTAAGGATAAATATGATACACCACTACTTTTTAGTCCGGTCAATCTAGACATTCGAAGGTACATAAATTTACAACAAGCTGAAAATCAGGAAAATTGTTTAGAATATAATTATAAATAACATTTTAAAGTTCCCCATCATTCCCCTGTATGGAAATTTTTTTATTTAAGGTCAAAGGTCAAAAAAATGATTTTTCGCGATTTTCAGCAAAACGGTAAGTTTTATCATAAAAATACACTAGACAAAAATTGTAGATCATAAAATAATCTATAAAAAATGTATCAATACATTTTTTTCTACGAGCCACCGTTTCTGAGATATAACGATTCGAAAAATTGTAAAAGTTTTAATCGCCATAATAAGCACACGTTTCCACGCCACCTATGAGGTAGTTTACTTAGCGCGTTTTTTACCGTGGTTTTCCCAGTAGGCCTTTTTCACTGGTCAGTTGTGATCCTGTTTAATTTGAAACTATTGCAAAATAACGGAAATTAGCAATGATTGGAAAAGATAATAGCGATGTAAATTTAAAAAAAGTACTGAAGTTTATTATTCGTAACATTTAAATTCTTCTTCTTGTTCTTCTTCTTGATCTTCTTCTTGTTCTTGTTCTTGTTCTTCTTATTCTTGTTCTTCTTCATCATCTTCATCCTGGGTACAAGTAAATTGCGTCAATAGCGATGTATCGCATGTCACCTCGTTGGAATTAAATGAATCCTCCACTGTTGGTGATTCAACATTAGAGCACGACCGTCCTTGACAATTCGTTCATGCCAGAGAATAAAACAGTCCGACTTTTTTGCAACCACATTTAGCACTCCTTCCCTTTTGCAGTTGCAAAAAATTGTGTTCAGCAGTTTTTCCGGCGCAGGTGGGAGTAAAGTTTGAACTGGTTCTAATGTGTTGTTGACCAACTTCCAACCCCAGTCTGTAGGGTCTAGCTGATAACCAAGCCACACTTGAACTTAGTAATATACCCGAAAAAGATGTTGATGAGCAGCAACTGAGGATGGTGGAAGACAAGCTAATTGAACTTGTTTTTTACTTTTAGAATTTTTAACGAAACATGCATATCGATACTTATCAAAGCAGGTATATACGGAGGAGCTCCGTATATAGAAAGAAATCGAATGCCGTTGTTGATTCTTCTTGTTCCGAAGCACCTTTTCCTCGACTTAGGCCGAAAAATCTCCGCTCGTTCGAAAGTTAAGCGGAGACAACGGAACGTGCCAAATTTGACGGAAAAATCGAAAAAAAGTGGACTTGGGCCTTTTCGACACCGGAAAAATTTGGTTCGCGGATTGGTCTCGTGGGCAGAAAAAATGCATGCAAATTTCAACCTTCAACGGCCTCCGAGCTACGGCGCTTAGAAAAAAAAGGATATACAGACAACGGAAAAAATAAATATTGCAAACGGGCCGGATCCGCCGAAAACTTCTCGAACAGCGTTCTTTTTTTATTTTTTTCGAAAAATATTCAAACGTTTTTTAGGGCGAGAGAAATTTTCGAAATTGGCCGAACGAAATACACGAATCGACGGGTAAAAGACCAAAGTTTGACATACTAAAAGATGAGCTTCATCGAATGAAAACTAATCGGCCAGAAGCCCGTTTAATTTTTGTTTTTTGTTGGGTAGGTATTTAAAAAAGTTAACCAATTAAAATCCCCGAAATCAAATCGATAAGGTGGCAAATGACAGGTGGCATATGACAGGGACAAATGACAGGTGACAGATGACAGGTGACAGATGACAGGTGACAGATGATAGGTGACAGATGTCAAGTTGACAGTTGACAAGTGACTAATGACAGTAGACAGATAACACTTATAAGGTGACAGAAAACGTGAGAAATATAAAATTCATCTTTAAAATTACTACCCAGTTTAGGTGGAGCGGTCGCGGCGCGATTCACACCCGCAATGAGCACCAACTATAGCAGGTCATACAATTGAACATGAGACAGATCATCTGTCATCTGTCATCTGTCACAGATGTTGTCTCGAGGTTACAATGGCGTATAAATTAATTATTTTATACCCAGTCCCTTAAGGGACTCTAGAGATGTATACGTGGCGTACTCATGCATATTATGACGATTACAACTTTTACAACTTTTCAAATCGTTATATCTCAGAAACGGTGGCTCGTAGGAAAAAAAGTATTGATACATTTTTTATAGATAATTTTATGATCTACAATTTTTAATTAAGGTATTTTTATGATAAAACTTACCGTTTTGCTAAAAATCGCGAAAAACTCATTTTTTTGACCTTTGACCTTAAATAAAAAATTTTCCATACAGGGGAATGATGGGGAACTTTAAAATTTTATTTATTATTATATTCTAAACAATTTTACTAATTTTCAGCTTGTTGTAAATTTATGTACCTTCACTGTTATTTTTTGGTCTAATTTGACCGGACTATTTTAATTTGTTTTAATATTATAAAACAATAAAAAATAAAACTTGGTGGTCTCTTGACTGTTTTCATGCAAGAAATCTCATTCAATAATTTATCGCAATATGAATTAATTACCCTTTTTAATAGATAAATGTTGTTTTATATTCTTTTATTTTAACAAAATAGTAGCAAATCCAATAAGCCGTACTTAATTAAAAATAAACTAAATTACACCCTTAAAAAGTAATGAGGTAAACTAATAAGTTTGTGGTATGAGAACCCATGCATAAGAAGTAAACAGCTTTTGACTTTAAAATAAATTTGGTCGATAAACACTAGTCTTGCATAAAAGCCATATAGACGTCTTTGTAGGGACATTTCTTTGAGATTATAAAGACTTTAGTGCAAAAATCCGACGGGATAGTCTTCTTAGTGTCAAAAATGTTTTTGTATTTTTCAAGAGTTTTATTTTATGTCTTAAGATGGATTCTTCTTGATCTCCAACCCCAGTCAAGTATGAAAAAAGTTTAATAAAAGAAAATAAGTCACATACTGATCTGGAACTCTTTTATACATTTTTTTTTAATCAAAGAAATATTATGTTTAATAATTTTAGTTAATATAATGTATACTTTTACGAATGAATAATAATTTTTAAAATAACAAATAATAAAATGCGTTGATTTTAATATAATTAAAATAGGAAGGTACACTTTAATTAACAATGGGGTAGTTAAATTTTTTCTGACCTATACTTTTTATGGTTTTATTCAAGGCGTTTTGTAATTTTAAACATCTTTGTGAAATCGGAATTTCAATTAAGTTTACCGTTTTCGAGATTTTTACAAAAAAAAGTCTCCTAATTACGTCACTAGGCTATTGACAACGTTGCCAGCTTTTTCTATGGTGTTTAGTTTAAGATTCTCACGATAGATGGCGCCACGTTATAATATTTTAGTTTTAAAACTACTTGATCTAAAATTTTAGTTGAGAAGAAGAAGAAGAATTGATTTTTTGACGTTTCTTTTTTTCGGGTTGTTTTTTTTAAATTTACATTGAAAATCAATGTTATTATTATGTTATTTGTAATTGATATTAGATAAGTGATTTATTAATAACGGACTCCAAAGCAGAGGAATCTTGTGGAATGGTTGGTTACATTGAACATTGGAGCTTTTAAACAAATAAAGTAAATACCTATAATTATAATCATATTTTGTCGTAAATGCATTTCATTAGTATAATGCCTAGTTCTTTATATTCTTTTAGATATATCTTGGACTCTAAAATATCAAACAGTAATATGATACCTCGTTATAAGTAAGATAGGTACTTAATGAATTTGGTGACCATCTTTCACTCAACTGACAGTGACAGTATTTGTACATAACCTCTTCGGGTATTTTCTGACATAACCGAATGAAATCATTAACAAGACAACTTGACAACAGGGTAATTTTCAACCAATAGAAATCTTAGAATGTTGGTCACATGGTGAGGTTTGTGACGTCATAAAAATGTATATTTTTTGTAAATATCTCGAAAACGGTAAACTCAATTGAAATTTTGATTTCACAGAAATGTTTAATATTACAAAACCCCTTGAATAAAACCATAAAAAGTATAGGTCAGAAAAAATTTAACTACCCCATTGTGTTTATAAAAATTAACGTTGTTACAACTAACCAATTTTATAAAATTAAATACCTAGCTGTTATAAGTTTAAATAAAAATAAAAAGAACATTTAAAAATAACATGAAAAAATTCTTTAAAAAGGATATTTGATTATAATCATATAGGTATAGGTATAGGTATAGGTATATAGAAAAGTATCTTACCGGAATAAGGTTCAACGCAACAAGGATAATATTCCTCGTTTCTGGTGGCTGGCACAGCAAGGATATCCCATTCTACCGATAAATAAAATTCGGATAAATCAATGCCGACCTTGACGATATTACTTCCGGCTACTTGCTCTATATGTTTCAAGTCAACCTGAAACAAAAAAGATTTTGATCATAGTCGGAAAATTCGATTAGGACCATTTAAAATCAAGGTTTACACACCGAAAAAATAATGTAGTTGAGTTAACGTTTGTCTAAATTTCATTTTTGAAAATGTTGTTTCATCAAAAAACCCATTGGATTAATCTATATTTTGGTGTCAAAGCAATATTCAGAGTTTGTCAAAGTTTATTTGTTGAACAAATTTTGTTCATTTGACAGTTAAAATATTGATTAAACATAAATTAATTTTTGATTTTGAAAATGTTTATCTTATTTTGATTTAATAGCTGGAATTTTTAGGATTACCTAAAAAAACTATTGAATTAACTTTTAGTTGCTCTTTAAATCCAAAACAGTAAATTTGTTCATTTAACAAATTGTAAATGTTCCTTTAAAATTTGTTAATTTTGCATTCATAAAATTGCCGTGAAGGGCGCTTCGAACACCCATGCCACGTCATTAGACGGTGTTGATCACGTGATGTTCTTACATCTCGCCTCAGTTGGCAGAAACTTCCAATACACCAAATTGCCCGACACTGATTTTCAGTGACTGATAAGACCCCCAATATAGGTCAAATGAGTATGTCGGTAGGTATTTGAAGTAGGTGGAACGCATTCAAAACAAAAACTCTGGCGAGGGAAGGTTCAATTCTTTCTCTTTATAATAATTCCATAATTTAATTAACTCAACATTAGCGCAAATTATTTTAATTTAACATTTTATTGGTGTTAAGTGAATATGCTAAAAAGGTTACCTGGACATTTCAAGAAATTTACCTTAACATCATGTTAGCACAACCATTTTCGAAATATTACTCCGACATATCAAGAATGTTTAATTAACCACATTAGCAGATTAGAACATATATTCTCATTTTGTTCATTTGACTAATATTTGTTGTTCAATTAAACAATACAATTTGACATTTTTAGATGGTTAAGTAAACGTGCAAAACCATTGCTTGTATTTAAAGTGCATAAAGAGTTGAATTAATATTTTTTTTGTTGTTTCAACAGCTTATTTTTTTCAGTGTATACATATATTGCCCATACGAGGGAACATTAAAAATTACGAACTTAGTACAGTAACTTTATTTTCCTAGTACAATAATGATATAGCGTAGACAATTAATATATAGAATTTTATACATTTTATCTCTACCTCCTGCATTTTTTATTGAAAGACTGTCATTCATATATACTAGGGTGTCCCAAAAAAAAAGAATATTTTTTTTCTTCTCTTCTCTTGTGAAAATATGTTGGTTTGTCATGTTTTAAGAGCCCTGTCAAAAGATCAGCACCATTAAAAAATTTTTAGGGGTCGCTCAAGATTTTTAAAAATTACCAAAATCGTCAAAAATTGGATTTTTTTTTATTTTAATTTTTTTTCTCGTTTCGATATTATTTTTTAATATAAAAATAATAATGATTCTGAAAATTTCAAATCGATATTTTAATTTCTAAAGGTCGCTCAAGATTTGTTTAACTTTCAAAGTAGAGTATTTTGAATGTTTTCAAGCGACCTCTGAATATAAATATCAACGAACTTTTAGCGACCTTTAGAAATCAAAATATTGATTTGAAATTTACAGAATTTTTATTATTTTCAACCTAAAAAATAATATCGAGACGAGAAAAATAATTAAATTAAAACAAAAATTCAATTTTTGACGATTTTTAAAATTTTTAAAAATCTTGAGCGACCCCTATAAAATTTTTAATCGAGCTGATATTTTGAAAGGGCTCTTACAGCATGATAAACTAACATATTTTTACAAGAGACAAGAAAAAAAAAGATATTCTTTTTTTTTGGGACACCCTAATATATACATATATACTTAATATATTAAGTTAATGATTTTTTAGTTTTTGTTAGAAGATAAAATAGTATAGGTTATTCGGAGAAGGTCTATGTGCTTCTCAATTGCTTTGCCTCGATGCAAAGCGTCTCGGCTGCAATCTTTTGAGCTCAGCACAAAAATACTTACTTTTCCTCATAATGACATAATGTACTATTATTTTTAATCAAAAAACCTCCTAGGCTGTGAAAAACACGTTTGGACAGATCTAATCTAACCTCACTTTCTAAGTTGTATTTTAATAATTATTACGTACGTTTTATGTATTGTTTAACAAATAAACTTATGCCTTGAAGATTAAATGTTGCAACCATGCGGCTGAAAAGTGTCTTTTTGTGCTCAGCACTCACTTCTCAGCCTTATAACATAAATAAATATTATTTTCTTACTACCTCGGCCGAAAATACGTTGTTTCGTCCCCGATTCCACGGCAGAAAGTTTACGTTTGATGCATTGGTCAAATTTACGTTTGATGCATTGGAATCGGGGATGAAACAACGTATTTTCGGCCGAGGTAGTAAGAAATAGTATATTACACTACAAGGGCTACAAAGCCTTCGCTCGTGCCGCAAATGTCGGGGCAGGCATCAATATGTTTCGATATACACATTTAATTTTTTTCCGAATTTTCGGCCGGGTAGCAAGAAAAATAGTATACATGATGCCCTCGGCTTCGCCTCGGGCATCATGGCGCGCAGTGCAGGAATCTCACACTTTCTGCCCTTGTAGTGTAATATACTATTAAATCTTTAAATAATGCAAAAAACAGTTTTTGGTCCCCAAAATTCCGAATTCTTTGTTAACTACTTTTACGACAATAAATTGTATGTGTTCTCGACGTTCTTAATAAGACGAGAACTTCTTGTCTTAACAAGAAATCAAGAAATCATGATTTCTTGCAAGAAATCAAAAAAATCAAGAAATCAAAAAACAGTTTTAAGTCCTCAAAATTCCGCATTATTAGTTAACTACTCTTACGACAATAAATTGTATGTGTCTTATCAAGAAATCAAGAAATCAAGAAATCAAGAAATTAAGAAATAAAGAAATCAAGCTAGCAAGCTCGCTCTTGCTAATTAAACGTGAGTAAAATGATAGATAATATAATATTAAATTATTTACATTTTTACCAGCTGGTTTGCTCATGTTTCTTTTTGTTTTTTTCTGAGTATAATTTTTTGTTTTCCTTCGTAATTTGTTCAATTTATTGTTCACGGAAGATATTTGTTTTCGTAAAAAAGTATAGAGCTAATTTTCATATAGGACGTGCAATAGTATATTCCGTAACAAGTTTGGAATATGCAATTCCAAAGGTGTTTCGGACTAGGGTTTTAAAATTTCCGGAAAAACTGAGCCGGCGAAAAAAAAACCGGTTTTTTCCGAAAAAAAAAAACGGAAAAATTGTGAAATTTTCAGAAAAATTGACTTTCGTTTTTTACATTTTATTCAAAGGGTAATACGAAAAAATGTAAAAGTCAATTTTTTTAAAAATTTACAAATTTTTAGAGATAGTAGGTATCTGTACACTGATATCGAGAAAAAAATGAATTTCTGACGGTGATTATTATCAATGATAATTTATCATATAATATTAGGATTATAACGATTATTCCTTTTATTTTAATTCAGTAAGAATATTCTACCGGGCCGCAAAAAAACCAATTCGGTGCTATATTAACATAACTTTTATTTAACACTTCGTTTTATAAAATTATAATTTTGTAATTTTACTTTATAAATCATTCATTATTTTGTAGTTAGATATTTTTACAACAAAAAACCCAACAGACAGTATATTTCACGTTTATGTTTATTTTCTTAAATTTGATTTAATGTTTAGTTTTATTTTTTTTTTGTAATAAAGGATTTTTTTTATTTTAAATAATGTTGTTGATTGATACTTTTTTCAAATGTGTATATTTAAAAAAAATCAATTTTTACCCAAAAAGCCAATTTTTCCAAGGCCTGGGAAAAAAAACGGAAAAAACAGTTTTTTTTCTCCAATTTTTTTCCGACACTTTAAAACCCTACTTCAGACTATACTTTTTCTTCGTTTTTAAAATATACTATAAGGAAATAATTTAATTGAGAATAAAACAAAGAGATGGCGACACCAGTGTTTATTACGTCTCCCGATGATAGAATAAATTCACTCTCTAAAAAAAATTGACTGATTTTTAAAGTAAAAAAGCAGTCAAGAATAACTGTATTCCACAGCAATTTGTATTCCGGATAAACAACAGCCAATTCTTAAGTAAAATCCGAATTCCACTTTTTAACTTTTGACGATATTTTTGTATTCAGCGGACAATTTTACATAGGAATTGACTGCTTAATGTCCGGGATACAAATTGCTTTTTCGCTTTGGCAATTGGTCATTTTGACTAATTTATTTTTAGAGATTCTGTAACACTTTAAGGAATATATGTAATTCCACATTAAAAAGTGATATTAGAACGTTTTTAAAAAACATATGTTTGTAAAATAAATTATTAATAATTATTTAGATGATTTATTTAAAGCATGTAGGTATGTATACAATGTACGAAAACGAATTTCTTCGAGATTTAGCCCTTTTGAAATTACGAAAGCTTATTTCAAACGAAAGCATTTCCACAAATAATTCTAATTAAATCCCTTAAGTATCTAAGGGGATTATTTATTACAAACATAAAAGATGTAGAAAATACAACATAATAAAAAGAGAAAAGAGTAGAATGTTGCGCTTGTATATAATAGTATAATGTTTCTTTTGATATTGCACACAGTAGGGCAGTTGAAAAAAAAACATGAAATTACAACGTTGATTACGGCCCAACATTATTAAGGTTGTAAAGTTTTCCTTTAAAATGTGATCACTAATGTTATTTACAACTAACAATTTTATGATCGTTTTATTGTCGTCATATTTTTTATTAATATTTAACTCGTAACAAAGAAACCTATTACACATAAAGGTAGCTATATTTCGCCGAAATATCTAAAGATTATTATCAGAAACATAAAAAAAGACTTTGTTATATTCTCAGGCCCGAATCCAGAATTTTGTTTAGGGGGGTAAATTTTTGTGTGACCTACACGGAAAAAAATAATCGGTAGAGGCTACCGATTGGCAATCGGTAGCAGCT